ACTCTCAAATATTGGTAAAGGGGCTGTGCGGATTTCAAATAAATAAATAAATGGAGCAATGATTAGCAATTCCCCCGACAGTCCTATCAATGAGTTTTATATTCATTTTCACTTCCAGGAGAATATTTCTGCTGCTACAGTGATTCTGTGCACTTTCCAAGCTTTTAACGCGACCCCCAGACTTTGGGACGACTTAGTTTATAGAATGTGTGAAGTGTGATTCATAGGAAGAGCTCTGAGAAAGAGTGTTATCTCTGAAAGGGACATTATATTAGCTAGACACCATTTTTCACTGGGCCACTGGTTAGTAACCACTAATAATGTTAAAGCTCTTTGTTTACAAACTACTGGCCACATACACATTGTTTACTCTGAAAACCTGGGGACCCTACCTGCTAAGAAAGTTAGAACACACACACAAGACCCCGCACACACACATTACGTTGAAGCTGATTCACAGCCAAGTTGGTTCCAGGCATTATTAAATCAAAGTTAAGACTTTATTGCTTACAGGAGCAGGGCCTGTGTGTGTGTGTGCTCCTGAGTGTGTATGTACGTATGCGTACTGGAGTGTGTGTGTTTGCATGTGAATGTGTGTATGGTTGGGGTAGGGCGTCGGTAGTTGGGAGTTTAAGAGCGGAAGAGGAATCAGTGTAGAACTAGTCTTGATGTCGGGGAAGCCCGCCGGCATTTTCTGTTCAAACATTTGAGAGGACTAACCTGCCAAGCCAAGCCGAGAACGAGGAGGAGGTGCCTGGGCGCCAGGATTCCCGCGCTTCCTGTTTCTCCTGACTTTGAGGAATTTTTACGGTGAACAAACTCCCAAAGCTCCACTCACACACCCCAGCACATATACCTGGCTCAGCAAAACTAGAAAAGAGAGAGAGTGCGAGATGGAGAGAGAAAAAGAGGGAGAGAGAGAGACAGCGATAACTTTCCAGGCACAGAGGTACAGAAAGAGAAACCTTGAAGTCACCTTGAGTTCATTGGTACCACACAGATCTAGAGAAATCTTTCCAGACTGGTAGCTTCCATACAAGTAATTTTTAATCTGCAATCAAAAAGAAAGAGAGAGAGAGAGAGAGAGAGAGAGAGAGAGAGAGAGAGAGAGAGAGAGAGAGAGAGAGAGAGAGAGAGAGAGAGAGAGAGCGAGAGAAGGGGGTAGATAACTTTAATTTGCATGCATCTTAAAATTATTTTTGAACACTTCAACATACACAGACTTGACCCAATGGCCATGGGATTAAAGTACAAGCGCACTACCACCTTTGCCATAAAGATCCAGGCCACTTGACAGAAGCCGTTGTATGCTCACGTATATGAAGGCTTCACAAGTACACACAAAGTACTGGACATAAAGATGAGTCCAGGGTGGTGATGCTGCTGCTTTAGCCTAGCTCTCTAAACACATAGGTCAACCCATTTGATTACATAAAGGTCCAGTGAACCTGAGCACATGATGAAACCAAAGGCCATCTTTGACACTGGTCCTGCTTGCCAAACCACCCTCTTGACACGGCTTACACACTACACAGTAGTGCCACAGACAGAGGTGAGACACCTCAGGTGAACACTGTGCTGTTCAAGTCTCCGATCACAGGTTGAGATCATTTGAGAGAACCCAAGAACGAGAGAAGAAGAGAAAAGGAGGTAAAACAAAATAAAAGTGGGTGGAAGTGTGTCTGGGGTAGCATCACATGCCGATGCTGTGACACACATCTGAAACGAACCGACGCCCTCTCTTTCTCCTCCCCTCTCTCTTTCCTCTCTCTTCCCCTCTCGCAGTGTGCCCGCGGGGCCGTGTAGCGTTAATTGCTGCCTCTACACAGCCCCGAGTCTGCCAAACAATATCTAATGCTCGCATCAAAGAAATCATGAGCTCAACTTTATGAAATTTTTATTCAATATGTTCACTTCTCTTCCCTTTTCCCTCTCTTTCTTCCTATTCCCCACCTTGGCCCTCCTCTCCCTTTCCACCGCCGCCACCAAACAGACAAGAAAGAGTCTCCCTACCATGTTTTCAGCTTCACTTCCTTCCTGCCCAGAAGCACTGCTGGTGAATCTCGTTAGTTCTCACACAGCCAACTTCTCCTCTCCGCTCTGCCAGGAGCTAAAAACCTGATCTGGGAGAAAAAGGAATAAAACGAGAGAAAGGAAATAAAAGAAGAGAGGGGAGGAGGAGAAAGGAGGGCAGCGAGATGAAGAAGTTTGGCTGCTGAGGTATTCCACAGAGCTAAGTGGGAGATGGTTGATATCACTTAACTAATGAGAAAGAAGATGCAGAGAAGGACACAAAGGAAAGAGGAGATATGAGAGGGTTATTCTCTCCCTATGGGCAAAGTCAATACATGCTGTGCTACAAGGCTGTTTCATTATTCTGTTTTATTTGGATCCACAAATGGAACATTGTGACACTTAAATAACCTATTTTCATCATATATTTATGCATTTGCAGGACATGAATCCATAAGAGTACTTGATACAACAATCTTTTCAGTGTTCTATGTCTTCACATACATCAGCCTAGATTCTAAGCAATCCTTGCTTTTCGCTTCAACCATCCAGATGACATCATCACCCTTATTCCCTTTGTGGATGACTTACAAGTTTACAGTCTCATCTCCTACCTTGCCCCAAGTAGACAGTCAGGCATAATCATGTACCTTACACATTACCAACTCCTCTTTCTCTCTAACACACACACGTTTGGTCATCCATCAGAGCACTGAGTGTTGTTTTTGCCCCCATATATCTCACACTCAGGTATAAATCACATAAGATGATTTCAGGGTTCATTGTTTAAATAATTAAAGAGCTTTAATTTATCAGGATTTAGCACCTTCAGACAGCTGAGAGAACAAGAGAATAAAAACTAAGGAAAAAGGGGTAGAGGGATATAAAAGACATTCTCAAATAGAGTAGAGACAAAAAAACACTAATGACATGTACACATTCATCACACGTATAAAGGTTTTTATTGGAGAAAAAACTAAACAAAAAACACCCGGTATAAAGTACAATAATGCAAAACCATATTCAGCCTCTGAACCAGTGCTACTTCAGCTGAGCATGATTTATCTTAGATTCCACAGGTTCGTAGATTTCAACACAAAGCTTGATTAACAAAAATGACACGATGAACACTTCTCAAATTATAAACAAAAACCTGCTCATTAACCTAGCTATTTAATGACTGATTGTAAGGAAAATTAGGCATTTAATTATTATTCTCTACCTCCACTTAAGATGAAACTCGGGCAAAAATGTAAATCATTCGATTTCAATGTTGTCATTTTTTCATACACATTCCAGGCATAGAAAGGCCTCACCCTTTTTTAAAGTTCCATCCTCGTTTCCATGACCACACATAACCGATCAATGTATTAAAACTCACTAAAGTCGATGTATGTTTTATGAACTTGTGGCAGTAACTCTGGCATAATGTGAAAGCTCTGTATAAGATGAAGATACAGTATCTCTACAAAGCCAGAACAAATATTTTATTAAAGAAATAGGATACAATTTCACAAATATTCTTTACTGATGCATCTGAATCTTACTGAATCTTCTCATCAAATGTTCACCTTCAACATTAGGGCCATGTTCAGGAGGAATGGATAGCATAAAATGTTTTGAAATAGAAAACAAAAATGTTTTTATTGAACATGTTCGTGCCCTAAATATGTTTTCCTATTTCTTTGCTATTGAAAGCCACCCAGCTATGACAGCACAGGGGTGTCACCCAGGAGTTAAGGTAAGCAGGCTTTTGTTCCAGCCCAGTACTTACACACCTGATCCAGCTTATCGTGGTCCATGATCAGTTGATTATTCGAAACAGGTGTGTGTATGCTAGTGCTGGACTGGAACGAAAGCCTGCACTCTTAATAGAAAGTCTAGAGATGATGTTGGAAATGGGACAGTGCCTGTAAGGTTAGATGGGGAGTGATGGAGCTCTACTGCCCTCCTTTGGCCAAACATGGGTAACTACAGCCTGCTGGGGGCCCATAGCAGTGCATCAAATCCAATTGTCCAATGATAAACAATATAAAATGACAGATACTGCGTGATTGTATTAGGTTCTTACTTAATATCTTAACCAATCCATACTAAATAAATTAAATGAACACCATCTACCAGCAAGAGGGTCTAGCGTGCACCTCGAAAACCATGAGAGGTTATACGGAGGGATGCCACGTTCAAGGAATATGGCTCCTATGTCACATGCATAGAGGTCCTACTCTCAGAATGCAGCCTCTATCAGCATAGTCAGCACAGTCAGTAGTCTAGGCTCCGAGGCAACACACTAGATCCATGTCTCTACTTGGGAGAAAAACACTAGTTAACTTTCCTGTGTGAACAAGTGCACACCACAGGGAGAAGGATTGAGAATCAGAACACATCTATTCTCATCAGCAAAAGTACTTAGAGTACACATTATATAAACACATTCCTCCTGGAATAAGAGTTACTGGCAGTTTACACCTTACAATGCTTTTTTGCATTGAAGAACAAGGTCACATTGCATTTTGTTGGCAAAAGGTAGCCACCTAGTGGTCAAAGCCTCTTATTGCAGAATCAACAGCAGCAAACTAAATTCACTTTGGAAGTCAGGTACATCAGGCCTATGTGACAATGCTATCAATGAACAGATCAAATCATGACTCAGTAATTTATGAACGATCTTACAATACAACACGCTTCCCTGGAGAGAGATACAGGGACATCACTCTTCTACCAATCCTACACCAGAAAGCACATCAACTGTGTTTAACTTGTATTGGTTTATTTATGTTTGAATGATAATTGTCTAATATTAAAGTGGAAAGAGGAGTTGTTCAGTAGGCCTCAAAGTTTCCTGGTTATGCAGGCAGGAAGGTGCTACCCACCCTTAATATTCTGTTGCCTATGGTTACACCACTAGCCCAGTTCAAGGACGGTGCAGTGCAATTCCCCCCCCCACCCAAATCCCCTTTGCCTCCTTCCTCCAGACATACACCACCTCAGTTCTCCATGAGGGAGCGCTGTAGAGCCTCCTGGATCATAGTGTGTTCGTCTGTGGAGTAGTCCTGAGAGAGGAGAGAAGGGGAATAATTAAATAAGAAAAACAAAAACAGAAGTGTACAATAACCAAATTGTGGCCACTGTGTCTTAAGATCCACTTACGACAAAGGTGTCATAAGAGAAGGTGTGTCTAATCTTGAGGTGCTGGAAGAAGTCAGCGCTCCTGTAGTTAGGGTCTCCCCAAGGCATAGAGGCACAGATAGGACACACCTGCAACAGAATAGAACATTGTTCATCTGGACGCATAGGAGTCTTTAGCTCGCCCTCACAAGTAACATAATTGTATTAAAGCAACACTAGACATGCACACTCACATGCCATCGTTTCCGTCAAATGTATGTCCAGATTTTTACAGGCTTTATCTAATAGACACCCATGTAGGCTAATGCTTCATTAGGAGTGCCCACTGCCGATTTACACCACATGGAAGTGACTGCAATGATTATCGAGCTACCGTCAAAATTTAATTAAAACGCTGAGACTCAAATAGCCACCAGTCTCTTTTAATAGTGACACACATTTCAGAAAACACCCGTTTCAAATAAATGCCAGGTCTAAATTAATTGTTAAGAGTGAACTTCAGTGAGTACCGTAAAGATTGCGTAAAAGAAGAGAAAGGAGAGTATCATTGCCATGGATGAAACAGCACAGTGATCCCAAATACAGGGGATAAAAGGTGCAATGAGTGGGGATACAAGGTGCAATGAGTGGGGATACAAGGTGCAATGAGTGGGGATACAAGGTGCAATGAGTGAGAGAATTGTGCTGAAGCGCAAAATCAAGGGTGTATGATCTGCAATGTATTTGTTATTATAATGTTTGTACTGGTCACAATAAAAATGGTGGTGGTTTTTCAACATTTTATTGAGAAAATGCTGTGTGTATTAAGGAAATAGACGCCTGGCTCAAATAGAAGCCTGTCTCTAATTAGCTCCAGTTGTGTTCAGTGATTGAAGCAAATAAACGTCTGGGCTATTAATTGAAGTTTTATGGTATGCAAGGAGGAGGAATGATAGCCTACCAAGTAAACATTGGCTCCTTTCACAATGACTGTCTCCCTCTGTCACTCTGGCTGTTCAATATCCTCTGTTTCAGCGTCACTATTCTTTGCCTCCATCCGTTGTACAGTAGCTAACTAGTTAGCGAACCGTTAGCTAGCTTGATTTGCACCGTTTTGATCTTTTAGCTACTCAACCAGATTAGGGGAAGAAGAGACGTAAGATGTATAATTCACCTAAATACTCCTTGGTGGAGTTGTATGACATTTCTGTAAATTATCTTTTAGGTAGATTAATCTAGCAAAATGTAATTAATGGTGAAGGGCACTGATATGGAAGATCTATATAGCATTTTTTATTTATTTTTTAAACACTTCTCCCCTGTGTGCACACAGCCGAGTGTCACGGACTCACTGGCGTGGGCCGGTACCAGTTGAGACAATTGCAAATTAATTATTTTTATCAGCCAAAAGCCGTCAATTACCTGCTAACATAAACGCTGTGACACCCCTAGACGTTCCCATGCCACCCAACCTCCACCACCCCCTCCCCTGCTTCCAAGAAGGCTTGAGCTATGACTATACACCTTGGCAGGTATTATTTCATTTTTTCCCGCTATAACACTAAAGTGTGTGTGTGTGTGTGACCGTCAGCGGCTAGGAGGGGACTCTGGTATGGTAGTAAGTCATACAGGCTCCTGGCAGATAGCTCTGTGTGTGTGATGATTTAGGACCTGCTCTAATGCAGAGTGATTGATGAGCACAGTGGAGCACCTGATTTTACAAGCCATCCCCCTCATCTTCCTTCCCTTTTCTTTGATCTTGTTTTCCTCTCTCTTTGCTTTCTGTCAAGCTTTCCCTTATTCTCTCCCTCCATCATTCACACTCTCTTTCTTTGCAACAACATCTCATGTTACACCCCTGGCTGAAGCAGGCTGTCATAGATTGCATGCATTAACAGTAACACACCATCTTCGTCCTCACGCAATGAACGAAAAATGCTGGAGGGGAGGCAATTATCAGGTGGGTCATGTTTCAGTGAGAACCCCTTACCACGTGGCGCGTGTCCCGGGCATGCTGGGAAGTGCAGTGCTCCACCAGGCCGTCCTGGTCAAGGTTCTGGTAGTTACAGTAGGGGCAGGAGAAGGTGAAGCGATTCGGCACAGGGCTGGAGAGACAGAGGGGAACAGTTACAGTAGGGGCAGGAGAAGGTGAAGGGGTTGGACACAGGGCTGGAGAGACAGAGGGGAAGGGGAATGAGACTTTTTTTTTTTAGCAGACATGTTGTTGTTAAAGCAGTGCTTCCTTTGTTTGCATTATACATGATAATGGCTCCTATAGACGAGCTAGCTGACAAAATCATGAAAACAATGTGCACGCGTCAATGGGGCAGAAGCCGGTGTGTTGTTGTGATTATGGATGGCCAGAGCACTAGCAACAATGAGGTGGCTCGTGTCAGCTAGTTTTAGCTTGTTCTTTAGACTATGTCTTGTTTTGAAGGGTTTTGACTGATGTTATGTCTATGTTACTATGGCAAAAAATTTACTAGCTAACCAACTGTTACAATGTATTTGAGAGACAACAAGTGCTCATTGAGCAAATGTATTTATGTTTTCAATAAATATTGGAGACTAAATATAGTTTAGATGTTGTCAACAGTCTAAGCCAACCCCATGGGTTTTTCCCCATAGTTGCGCCCGCGTCTGTGTTGTTGCTAAACAACCAACACATCTATGGGTCTGTGCCAACATCTATGGGTCTGTGCCAACATCTATGGGTCTGTGCCAACATCTATGAAACTCAAACAGTTATGCAAAAGTCAATAAAGACGTTAGGATATTTAGAGCCATTACAAAGTTAAGAACCTATAAAGATGGGTTAATCATCAATACATGTATGGATTACTTAGAAAGAGAGAGGCAGATAATATTATACTATGTCCATTAGTGGAAGATTGCACAGCATATCAAAGCTGCTGTACCACCACTCAGGCTACACCCTCCCTCTCTCACCCGATAATGTTAGGCTGGGTCTGGGCAGTGGTCCTGACCCCCTCCTCAATGTACTCCTGGTACTTGGAGCAGCCTGCCGTGTGGCCTCTCATCTGGGACAGGCCCACCTGAGAAAGACAAGAAACCAGGCGTCAGTGCTAATGGTAGCGCAGTATATTCAAAAACAGAGGCAGAGACTTTTGTGCACATATACAAATACAGTGCATTCCCTTTTTCCACATTTTACGTTACAGCCATATTCAAAAATTTATTAAATAAATTAAAAAATCCTCATCAATCTACACACAATACCCCATAATGACAAAGTAAAACAGATTTTTAGAAATGTTTGCAAATGTATTAAAAATAAAAAACAGAAATACCTTATTTACATAAGTATTCAGACCCTTTGCTATGAGACTCTAAATTGAGCTCAGGTGCATCCTGTTTCCATGTATCATCCTTGAGATGTTTCTACAACTTGATTGGAGTCCACCTGTGGTAAATTCAACTGATTGGACATGATTTGGAAAGGCACACACCTGTCTATATAAGGTCCCACAGTTGACTGTACAAGTCAGAGCAAAAACCAAGCCATGAGGTCGAAGGAATTGTCCGTAGAGCTCCGAGACAGGATTGTGTCGAGGCACAGATCTGGGGAAGGGTACCAAAACATTTCTGAAGCATTGAAGGTCCCCAAGAACACAGTCGCCATCATTCTTAAATGGAAGAAGTTTGGAACCACCAAGACTCTTCCTAGAGCTGGCCGCCCAGCCAAACTGAGCAATCGGGGGAGAAGGGCCTTGGTCAGGGAGAACCAGATGGTCACTTACAGAGCTCCTCTGTGGAGATGGGAGAACCTTCCAGAAGGACAACAATCTCTGCAGCACTCCACCAATCAGGCCTTTATGGTAGAGTGGCCAGACGGAAGCCACTCCTCAGTAAAAGGCACATGACAGCCCACTTGGTTTGCCAAGAGGCACCTAAAGCACTCAGACCATGAGAAACAAGATTCTCTGGTCTGATGAAACTAAGAAGTAAAGATTGAACTCTTTGACCTGAATGCCGAGCGTCACATCTGGAGGAAACCTGGAACCATCCCTACGGTGAAGCATGGTGGTGGCAGCAAGACAACACAGGAGTGGCTTCGGGACAAGTCTCTGAATGTCCTTGTGTGGCCAGAGCCCGGACTTGAACCAGAGCTAACATCTCTGGAGAGACCTGAAAATAGAAAAATTTGAGAAACTCCCCAAACACAGGTGTGCCAAGCTTGTAGCGTCATACCAAAGAAGACTAAAGGCTGTAATCACTGCCAAAGGTGCTTCAACAAAGTACTGAGTAAAGGGTCTGAATAATTACGTAAATGTAATATTTCAGTTTATTTTTTATACATTTGCAACAATTTCTAAAAACCTGTTTTTGCTTTGTCATTATGAGGTATTGTGTGTAGACTGAGGGGGGGAAAAAGGGGGGGAAAACAATTTCAGAATGAGGCTGTAACATAACAAAATGTGGAAAAAGTCAAGTGGTCTGAATACACTGTATTTAATTCACTCCCTCAACCTAATTCTCTTGACTATTCACATTGTTTTACAAAATGACAGCGTGCTATACACACAAACACACCTGTGCTCCACAGCCCTTGCAGGCTGCCACTGAGGTGTGTAGGAGGGCATCTAGATCAGTGGCCTTGGCCCAGTGGCCCAGTGCTGCCCTGCACACAGCACACACTGGCTTTTGGGGCCTCAGGCACGCCTGCAGACAACTTTGACAAAACCTGGAGGGTGGAGGGAGAGAACAGAAAGGAGAGAGAGGAAGTGTTGGAAATCATTCATAGGCTAAAATGCAGGTAGTGGACTAAACTCCGCAGTGAAGGACGTTTCTGATGAACGACTACATCAATTTGCACAAGGTCAATACTTACAGTGTAATATTATAAAACGCCCACCTTGTAGCCATGTTTGTCCTCTGTAGTTGTGTGCATTTCTTTGCTGAAATCCATACTTTTTATTTAAATAAATGTCAATCAAATACCACCACCGACTGTTTCCTTGTTGAGATGCAATTGGCACATGCGCCGAGTTGCCATCTTTGAACAACAGCAATTAGCAAACAGTCGGTGGTTGTATTTGATTAACGTTCATTGAAAACCTATGGATTTCAGCAAACAAAAGAATAGCACCCAATTACAGAGGACAAAAAGGCACAAGTTGGGCGTTTCATAATAAAATGTTTTTGAAGTATTGACCTTGGGCGAATCGATTTAGTCGGAGCTATGCGTTGATGAAGTTAATCAGAAACTTCCTTCACCATGGAATGTTGTTTAGTTCGCTAAAATGAAAGCAAACATCTATGTATAGGTAATGAAATACCAACGATTTGTTCATTACAGAAGGAAAACTAAACTGAATGTTAGACGTCTGGTATGACAGAAATAAACTGACGCAGATTATTAACGTTACACCGCTATGTTCATCACCCGACAGTTTCTTAATTTACTTTATGAAATTAAATGACGGTGCGAATGTTTTATGGCTAAATGCACTTCCGTTACCGAGGAAAAGTCCTGTTCTTTGAGGACATTGGGTATTGTAGTTCTTTAAAGATCTACATTAATATATTTCACACGTCATTCAACTACAAAACCCACGATTCCTGAACCCCATTTCCTGACGTAAACAAAACTGAACGTAAAACACAGATTTATGAACTTACAAATATCTTAAAAACATAAAATTGAATGCCAAAATAAACACAATGGCAAGCTAATTATTAATTCCTGTCAGAAGTAGTTAGCTTGCGGGTGCACATAGATGTTCAATCGTTTAGCTAGCCAGCTCACAACAGATCTTGCTAGTGGGCTGGCTAGTTTAGCCAAATAGCTAGACAGCTCGTTAGCTTGAACTTGGACGATGTCTAGCCAGCTACGTTTATAGACAAATCATCTATTTTTGTAAAGATACTCACGTATGTCCACAGTGTGTAGTGACAGGGCTATCAAAAATCTCCAGACAAACCGGGCAGACGAACTCTGTCACGTCCCTGTCGCCTCCAGAAACATTTTTCTTCTGCTGTGCAGAGCTAAAGGATCCTAGCATCGCCATTTCTTCTCTCTCAGCTGTCAATTTGGGGGACCTATTGTTGCGTTCAGGACAACTGGGTGTATTCATTAGTCGAATTCCGTAGCGAAACGTTTCGTATGTTGCAAAACGTTTGCAACAGAAAACGTTTAGGGGGTTTCAAATAGATAACACAGCCACAGTCAAAATGGGCAAAAATATCCTGATTTTGTTTTGCTTTTTGGTCGTAATTGAAAGTTAGGTTTAGGCCACCCTTAGCGGCTTTGGCAGTAAGAGGATTTTTCCAGTTTTCAGAGATACAGTAATATATTAATTTTTTCCACATTTACATTTACATTTTAGTCATTTAGCAGTCGCTCTGGATAAGCAAGATATATTACAGTTAGTGAGTGCATACATTTTTCATACACATTTCCTGTGAAAAACGGATGTGAGGTCTCCACTCAGGTGTTTTTTTAACGACTGCTATGTTAGTTTAGGGTTATCAGTGTGGTGAAGGTTAGGGTTAAAATCAGATTTTAAGAAGATAAACTGTATAAATAGGCGGGGTTTATGACTTTGTAGCTGTGTTAACTAGTGACGACCCGTTTACTTTAAGAACCGAACAGAAGCAAACATAGCAAATGGAACCAAACAGAGTGACCTACCTGAATTTGTCAAATAGTAACTTTCGTTTTCGTTGCAAAACGTTTTCTGTTTTTGAGTAAACTGTTTCTGACGCAAAACGTTTTGCAACAGAATCTGACTAATGAATACACCCCTGAAAACAAAACAAAAAACGAGCTCATGCTGCGTTCATAACCAAGTGGGAAGGTGGTAATTACCAGTTGTGAAGTCTTAAAACTAGTTGGATGCATTAACGTACTTTGAACTAGTTGAGAAACTCTGATTGACTAATGGCCAACAAGCTGCAGTCAACCATAAACTAAAAGTATGCCTACAGCTATTATGCTTGTAAACAAGTTATAGTGTTGAAAAACCATAATAACATTGCTTTTTTATAAATGTTTTGTTATATTTAACTGCCGAAAGTGCTGTTATCAAGGACATTTATTTAGTAGGTGACGTCAGAGGTCAGCATGTGGGAGAAGTCGGAGCTCAGGGATGATAGACAAGTTTCCCAATATGAGTTGGAAGGGCTTTCAAGTGAAATTTTCCCAGTCCTATGTGGTAAATACCACCATCCCACTTGGTTATGACGCAGTCAGTGATCTTCAGGTCGGCCACTGCGCTGTTTCAAGTGCAACGTTTATGGTCATGCAGCAGCAGTGTGTAGGAGGGAGATTCTAAGATGTGGGAAGTGTGCAGGAGGGCATGGGACAGAGGATTGTGCCGTTTCGGTGGATAAGGTTGTGTGTGTCAACTGTAGGGGTGCACATGTTGCTGGGGATCGGAAGTGTCAGGTGCAAGGGATGCAGGTTGAGGTGGCTAGAGTCAGAGTAGTGCAGAAGGTGTTGTATGCTGAGGCAGTGAAGAATATGGGGGGTGATAAAGGCCTAAATTCAGCCTAGGCAACATCGCCTACCATTGAACATGTAACTAACATGTCGTCATACTAAAGCCTTAATAACGTCTGCGTGAGGCCTGCGTGTTGATGAAAGTCATAAGGTGCATAGTTTATATTTATATTAATTAAATCTCAACCATAAATGTTAGAAACTTAGTATTTCCCGCGCAAGCCGACATTCCGAGGTTGCCACCTTGAGCTATAGTGTAGCCTACAGCTTGTGTATTTCCTGTTATCTCTAATGGCCTAGAAAATATTATGTCCAATCTATAGGTAGTCTGTCTTTCAGATCTAAATGTTGTTGTCCAATCACAGACGGTGTTGTTACCAGTTCCCAGTAGCCTACATCAGACAACCAATAAGAGTTGTGTCCGTGGCTTTCAGTCGAATAGAGGAGTTCATAGGCTTTCCCTGAGAGTCCGTGCTATTTGGGATCCTTGGGATGTTCCTACCTCAATCAAGTAGAATTGTAAAATGGTTAAGATAAGGGTTAAGTTTAGTGTTAGGTAAGGGTTATACTTTAGGGTTCAGGGTAGGGACATCCCAAGGAATCCAGATAGCAGTGACCGTTCATAGAGTGAAACACAGGCATGGTATTTGAGAGCTCGGCGGAGACACAGACATTAATTTGTTTGTTTTTTTACAAGCAGCAGACGTGATCTTCGAGAGTGTCTGCCCAGATAGTTTCCTTAGAGACTATGAAAATAATTACCAAGATGTCCTTGATCCGATTGAGGAGTAAGTAGGCTATATTTAAGTTGTGTTATCATTTGGAAATATTTAGGCCTACTGTGTTGACAAGGCACATTTGGTTTATTTGAAAATAATTACTTTTAGTTGATAATGTATTGTCGAAAGCACGTAGGCAATATTATTTACTGTGTCGATAGGGGAGTAGGCTAGTGTACAATAATAACGTAATTTGATGTGCTAGTATTATTTATTTCATGGATGAGTTAAATTGTAAATTAAAATATACATATGTGGTGCTATAGGATATATACATATTTTACATTGTAATACACTACCCCTACATGCCATTGTACTATAGGATATATACATATTTTGCATTATAATACAATACCCCTACATTGTGTGCTGGAGCTATGGGTTTATTTTTTCACTGTCAATAGGCCTACACATTCACACTCGGACTGAATTGAATGGGGGATGCTTAACTACTTTTCACTGAAGATCGAAAAACCTAAAATCATGCCTGACAAGACCAATGAAATCATAACGGTATCCTAATATAGTGTGGATTCAGGAGTAGCCTATTCTACAATAATGGGACTGTATGTGCTAGTATTATTTATCTAATAGATAAATGAAATTGTAAATGTGGACGGGTGCTCTACTTCATTCATTGATTACGGTATTGTACAAGGTAGATACAGGAGTAGCCTATAGTCTACAATAATAACATCATTGAATGTGCTATAGTATAATTTATTTAATTGATTAATGAAATTGTAAATGGGAATGGGTAGGCTACAGTGGGGGGAAAAGTATTTAGTCAGCCACCAATTGTGCAAGTTCTCCCACTTAAAAAGATGAGAGAGGCCTGTACTTTTCATCATAGGTACACGTCAACTATGACAGACAAATTGAGAAAAAAAATCCAGATTTTTTTCCCCAGAAAATTACATTGTAGGATTTTTAATGAATTTATTTGCAAATTATGGTGGAAATTAAGTATTTGGTCACCTACAAACAAGCAAGATTTCTGGCTCTCACAGACCTGTAACTTCTTCTTTAAGAGGCTCCTCTGTCCTCCACTCGTTACCTGTATTAATGGCACCTGTTTGAACTTGTTATCAGTATAAAATACACCTGTCCACAACCTCAAACAGTCACACTCCAAACTCCACTATGGCCAAGACCAAAGAGCTGTCAAAGGACACCAGAAACAAAATTGTAGACCTGCACCAGGCTGGGAAGACTGAATCTGCAATAGGTAAGCAGCTTGGTTTGAAGAAATCAACTGTGGGAGCAATTATTAGGAAATGGAAGACATACAAGACCACTAATAATCTCCCTCGATCTGGGGCTCCACGCAAGATCTCAAACCGTGGGGTCAAAATGATCACAAGAACGGTGAGCAAAAATCCCAGAACCACAAGGGGGGACCTAGTGAGGGCCAGGGACTCAAATCCTGCAGTGCCAGACGTGTCCCCCTGCTTAAGCCAGTACATGTCCAGGCCCGTCTGAAGTTTGCTAGAGTGCATTTGGATGATCCAGAAGAGGATTGGGAGAATGTCATATGGTCAGATGAAACCAAAATATAACATTTTGGTAAAAACTCAACTCGTCGTGTTTGACCCTATCCCCTCCTCTCTTCTCCAGACCATCTCCGGTGACCTTCTCCCTTACCTCACCTCGCTGATCAACTCATCCTTGACCGCTGGCTATGTCCCTTCCGTCTTCAAGAGAGCGAGAGTTGCACCCCTTCTCAAAAAACCAACACTCGATCCCTCTGATGTCAACAACTACAGACCAGTATCCCTTCTTTCTTTTCTCTCCAAAACTATTGAGCGTGCCGTCTTTAGCCAACTCTCTTGCTCTCTCTCTCAGAATGACCTTCTTGATCCAAACCAGTCAGGTTTCAAGACTGGTCATTCAACTGAGACTGCTCTTATCTGTGTCACGGAGGCTCTCCGCACTGCTAAAGCTAACTCTCTCTCCTCTGCTCTTGTCCTTCTAGACCTGTCTGCTGCCTTTGATACTGTGAACCATCAGATCCTCCTCTCCACCCTCTCCGAGCTGGGCATCTCCGGCGCGGCTCACTCTTGGATTGCGTCCTATCTGACCGGTCGCTCCTACCAAGTGGCGTGGCGAGAAGCTGTCTCCGCACCACGTGCTCTCACCACTGGTGTCCCCCAGGGCTCAGTTCTAGGCCCTCTCCTATTCTCGCTATACACCAAGTCACTTGGCTCTGTCATATCCTCACATGGCCCTGGTGTGGGAGACCCCAAACCTGGAGAGGGGCTGACATCTGGGTCTGGACTGGAGCCACTGACCGGAGCTGGACCGGGCACCGGTGGAGCGGACTGCTCAGGCTCCGGACTGGAGCCGCTGACCGGAGTTGGACTAGGCACCGGTGGAGCGGACTGCTCTGGCTCCGGAGTGGAGCCGCTGACCGGATCTGGACTGGACCCCGGTGGAGCGGACTGCTCTGGCTCTGGAGTGGAGCCGCTGACCGGAGCTGGATCAGGCACCGGTGGAGCAGACTGCTCTGGCTCCGGAGTGGAGCCGCTGACCGGAGCTGGATCAGGCACCGGTGGAGCGGACTGCTCTGGCTCCGGACTGGAGCAGCTGACCGGAGCTGGATCAGGCACTGGTGGAGCGGACTGCTCTGGCTCCGGACTGGAGCTGCTGACTGGTGCCGGACCAGGCACCGGTGGAACGGGCACGGGCCGTGCCGGACTGGACACATTCACCACTGGTCTAGTGCGAGGAGCAGGAACAGGCCGGGCCGGACTGCGACACGCACCACTGGCTTGGTGCGAGGAGCAGG